CTTTCCCGGGTTGTGGGGGGTGTGCTGGGATAAACGTCCCTCCTCCTCTCTGGGCTGGGGAGGTGGATCAGGGGAAAATTCTCTTAGCAGAGAGCCTGAGCCAAGGAGCCCTTGAGCTGCTGCTCCACTGCTCCTCCCTGCCCCACATCCTGCTGTGTCCTACTGGGAATCCCGCTGCTGGCTCTCCCCTGACCAGTGTTCCTTGTAACGCCTAGCTGGTGTGATGTGCTCTCCCCACTCATGGACACCCTTTTCCCTCTCCACCCCTGACATCCCAACACCCTTAGCATGGTGGAAGCCCTAAAGATTCCTAGAACATAGCCACGGGGTGGCAAAGTTGATGGCTGGTGTTGTCCCAGTTTACCCTGACCCTGACCCTGCCCCTGCCCCTGCAGGTCGCACTGTTGGCTTCAAGGAGGACCACTACATGCTTCGCCACAGCCTCATGTCCTCTGACCACCTGGACACCCCCATGGTCCGCAGCGGGTCCCTCAAGGGTCGGGACACAGTCCGCTGGAAGATCAACAACAATGTTCACAAGCAGGGCTTCGCCTCCCTCACTGCCGCCAACCACAAAGATCTCAGTGAGTGCCACGTTGGAGGAACAGGGCATAGAGGAGATGCTGCGAGTGCCATAAAGGGCACGAACCCCTGATAGTGGCCACCAACTCCAGCAGCCGTGGCATTACTTCCAAGCCCAATTGCAAGGGGGGTGGTTCCTTTATCTGCTTCTATTCTGGAGGAAGCTGGGCACATTCCTGTAGCAGGACGGGTGGCAGACCTCCTGACAGCCTGACCACGTGGTGGATGTACCCTGCACATGTCTTAGTCTCACTAGTTCGGTGACCCAGCCTTGATTTTGCTGCCTCATCAGTCCAGAGCCACCACTGGACACTGTTTCCTTTACTGGATCTGGCAGAGAGCTTCCCAGTTAGCCCTCCAGTTCTTGGAGGGTTTTCTCTGCTGATGCTATAGGGTTTGGGTGCTAATGGTACAGGATCTGGACACCGAGCACCATGTGTGTCCCCATGCTTTTGGCCGGGTTATTTCTCCGATCAAGAGGAAGGAGGTTGACTTGGGAATTTCTCTTTCCAGTTCCCTATGGGCTGTCTCTGAGGCTGACCCGGCTTTTCACGCAGAACCTGGTGAAGTCGGACTCCCCGGAGTGCAAGCAGCTGCGGAAGGAAGTGGAGGAGAATGTATGAGCCCAGACATGAGGGGGGCTCGGGGTGGGCCTGGGGGACAGCCATGCTGAGGGGGTATCTGTGATGCTGGGGAAGGGGGAGTGCCCCTTCCCTGTGAGCCCAACAGCTCTTGCAAGGAAGAAGCAATTTTTCCTCGTTCTGAAAGAAAGCACAGATTTTAAGATGACAGTTGTGAGAATTATCAAAGCATCATGTTCGTAAGATTTGAGGTTTGCTTCAGGACACTTGGTCTGAAATTCCTGTTTGCCTCTTGCCACATCCTGGGGAGAAACCATGTGGTGGTCTCCTCCTGGCATGACAGTGTGAGGTGGAGGACCTGGGGGTGGCCAGAGGGCTGTCGTGTTTGCTGGCAGCAGCGTCTCCTTGCTGAACACATCTCTGTTCAGCAAGGGATGTGTTGTGAAAGTCCCTCTTGCTCCTTGCAGCTGAACGATGTATTCAAGCACATTCCTGGCTGCCACAAGCTCCAGCAGACCAAGTTCAGGTGAGTCACTGGGAGAGACCTCCTGTGGGGCAGGGTTCCCCCAGGGCCCTGCTGATGAGGGAGTGGACCAGAGGGCTGGGCTGTGAAATCTGGGGTGCCAGGAGGGAGTGTGGTCTGTGGCACATCCCCAGCACAAGCCTGGTGTGGTGCCTTACCCCCCCAGGGCTGCAGAGCAGAGCCCACCCAGCTGTGCAGGTGATCTCAGCTGCATTCTCGCTTTGGACCTGAGACTCCTACAGACAGGGACAAATCCTGGTCTCATGGTGCTCAGTGAGAAAATTCCCATCGACTTCAAAAGTTTTAGCCCTGTACAAAGTTACAAGTGCCTGGTGCAGGATGGAGGAGTCTGGGGATGCCAGCGCTGAGCAGGGAGCGTGCTCTGCCCAGATGTGATTTCCCCCGTGGGCACATTTCTCATTGCATTGGGAAACCCAGGGCTGGAGGGAGCAGCCAGGCAGGAGGGAACATGCAATGGGGCCACAGGCTCTGCAGGATGGGTTGGCAGCCGCAGGGCAGCTGCCACGGCTCAGACCTGCACAGGGCTGTGATTCACGCAGAATTTGTCTCCCCAAATGTGTTACTCACTCTGACTTGGTTTTGGTTTTTTTTGTTTTTTCACCAGGTTACAGCCCAATTCTGGGAAAAGGTAAGAGGAACTTGCAGCCCTCTCTTGTGCTGCTTCTCCCTCTTTGTACACATGTGCAGGGTGACTGATTGCCCCACGCGCTCACTAGCCCCTACAGCTGCTATGTGAGATGAGCAACCCTGGCCTCAGCTCTTACCTGGCTTCCTCTTCCCACCGGTCACAGGCAGGACCACACCATTGTGGACACAGTGCTCACTGCTCCTCGCTCAGCCAAGCCAGAGATCATCAAAGTGATGGAAAAGCACGTTTCCCATGAGGCTTTCAATGACCTGAAGGTTTCACCGGGTTATTACACTGTGACCTCAGACCAAGGTAGGGAGCACAGCCCAGCGCTGCCTCTGGGCTGGGCAGGGGGGGGACGTTTCCCACCTATCACCGTTGCCCCTTCCCCTAGATGCTCATGGGATGGTGGAGTTCCAAGAGGCTGTGGAGCTGGTTGATGTCCGTGTCCCACTCTTCATCAGGGAGGATGATGATGATGAGAAGCAGCTGCAGGTGGAGGCCATTGATGTCCCCACCGGCATTGCAGACATTGGACGCAGGATTGTCAACATCACTATCATCAAAGAACAAGGTGAAGGGCTGCAACTGTGGCACGAATTGAAAGGTGTTTGTGTGTCCCATGTCCAGATGGACTTGTGTGGTTTCTAAGGAGGGTGTAGTCTGCCTGTCTGAACTCCCACAGATCACAGGCCAGAGACTCGCTTGGTGACTTTTATCTTAAGTCACCTGGGTCTAAACTAGAGCATCTTTTAAAGCATCCAAGGGAGGGTCATCATCCCTGGTGACAGACACCCAAACATTTGACCACCACAGGTTTAGATTCTGTGGCAGATCCAGGGTTGACCATATGCCTCTGCTGATCCAGTTCATTGGTTGCTGGAGTAAAGTAAACCCTCTTTGCTGCTATGCTGTGCTTGGGGTGGGTGAATATCCCCAGTGGTTTTCCTCTGTTTCCCATCTGGTTATTTTGAGCAGGGAGCAAGAGTCAGGAGTGGTAAAGTCTCCAGCCCATGCAGTAGTATTTCATACACAGCTCACACCTGTGGGAGATAGGAATGCTGTTCAAGGAGGACACCTGCGTGTTTGTAGTGTGATTCTTCATGTATTTGCTCACACATTCCTTCTCTGCTGCCCCTTCCAGCCAGCAGCCTCATCACCTTCTCGCAGCCAGCCTATTCCCACAGCCGCTTTGATAAGCTGGCTAAGATCCTTGTCCTCCGGGAGATCATAGACAACGGGAAATCCCAAGTCACGTACAGGACACGAGATCTCACTGCAAAGAACGGCAGGGTAAGGATGATGCTTCTGGCCTTGGCAGGCAAGAACAAGCAGGCTCAGTGGGCTGGGAAGGGTCCGACCCTGGGGCTGCAGTAGAGCAGTTGATCAGGCTCAAAGGGGACGTGGCTGGTAGGCAGGAGACCCAAGGCTTGAGGTTAGCACAAGGGCAGACATTCCCCTCCATCCCTTGCTCCCTGTGCCTCAGGGACCTGAAAGGTTGCATGTACCTGAGACAGAAGGTACTGGCTGCCCCCTGAGCTGTGGGCATTGGGAGGCAAGTGAGGGTTCACTGGGAGATGAGGGGAAGCTCTCTGGGGGCCTTCTCATGGATGCTGTGGGCTCACCTCTTCTTCTCCTCCAGGACTACATCTTCACAGAGGGTGACCTCGTCTTCCAGCCTGGGGAGACCCGAAAGGAGGTGCAGGTTCCCTTGCTGGAGCTGACTGAAATAGATACCCTCCTACACAACTTCCAGCTCAAGCAGTTCGCCATCGACCTCCTCCATCCCAAGTATGGTGCCAAGATCGGCCGATACCCCCAGACCACAGTGACCATCGCTGACCCAGGTAGGGGCTGGCAGCCAGGAGGTGGGGAATGGCGGCAGGGGATGTGGGACCCCCACACCGGACCAGGCCACCCCGAGATGGTGTACAGAGCTCCAGCCCTGCTCCTCACTCAAAAAGCAGCAATGAGGAGGTTCCTCCAGCTCCGACTGGTAGATTCGGGCCTCCCTCTAGAGGCATTAGTGGGTATAGACAGTGGGTGGGAAGAAGATGGATAATCTATGCTGCAAAAGGGAATAAGAGTGGATTCTTCATTCCTTTTCCTTAGGGATTTGAATAAAAAGCTATAGAAATAGGTGAGAGGTGGGACTTGCCATGAGCTGTGCTTGGTGGTTCCTGTGGCTGGACAAGCAGAGCTGTAAGGGTTGTCATCAAGTGGGTCAATAACATAAAGGTATTCATCACAGTATTGGCCATGAATGCTGGGGGTACAAGAAAGTCCCTGTGACTGGGTCAACCAGAACCACTTCAGGGCCAGGCTCTGAGGCTGGAGAGGCTCCAGAGAGCTCTCAGCTGGGCTTGGTGGCTTTCCAGGAGAATCAATTGGGTGACTCAAGAAGGCCCTACCCAACTCCATCTTTTCTCGTGGCTGCACAGGGCAACCAATCAAGATGTTGAAGAATTACTAAATACATTCAGACAGAGCTAAAGATTTCCAGAGGCAAGAAGGTTGTCTCTTCATTTCTTCCTACCTGGGCAGCCTGTGAGAAGCAGCAGGAGGTGCAGGACTTAGGGGGTCTGAACCCAACCCTCATGCCAGCTTGCTGTGTGGCTTTGAGGGGTGTCATCACCAAGTGCCTCAGTTTCTTTTCCCTGCGATGGGGATCTACCCCTTGGAAACACTTTGAGAGGCTCACTCAGGATGGCTGAGCAGTGCTGGAGAGAGGCATGCTTCCTTCTTTTCCTTCCCTGCGTGGGACTAGCACTGATGTGCCCTTTCTTCCTTGTGTCTGCAGAGGTGGTGGATGGTGTCCCCTCAACAACTGGCCTGAACCAGGTCTCCCAGTCCCCCAAAGGCCGCCTGAGTGCACCACTTAATCCCAATGCCCACGCTCTCACCTCCAGGGAAATCAGCTTCAGCTGGATTTCTCCACCGGGAAAACCTCAGGGATACAAGGTAAGGGGTGAGTGGATCCCAGGGGAGGGTGTGGGTCCCACCCGGCAGGTGTTTCACACACACAGTTGTTTGCGCTAAAGGCATGGTGAGGAGAAGCTCAAAGGAGGGAGCGGGCTTGCTCTTTCTGACCCCCTTCATCCTTGGGGGATGTGGGATTTGCAGGAAAGATTCCTGGTGGGTTCATCTCCTTTCCGTCGCTTACCATGAAATACCTAGACTGTCCTGGCCTTCCATTTCAGAGGAATGCCACAACACCCTGGCTTTCCCGGCGGAGATCCAGTAAGAGATGGGGTGAGGAGCTGAAGGAATCACAGCTTGCTCTTGCTTTGGCAGGTGAAATACTGGGTCCAAGGGGACTCCGAGTCAGAAGCCCATCTCATCGATGTCAAAGCACCATCGGCTGAGCTGAGTAACCTCTACCCTTTCTGTGACTATGAGATGCAAGTCTGTGCCTACAACGCCATGGGTGAAGGAGCTTACTCCGACATCGTCCACTGCCGCACACTTGAGGATGGTGAGCGACTCTGCACTTCGCTTCCCACCATGTGGGAGCAAGTTGGTGCCTGTGCATCTGGCATGGGGTCAGGGCTCAGCCCTGAGCTCTGATGGTCTTGGGGACGAGCACTGAGCGGCTCCCACTGCGGCCCACCTGTGATTTGGGGAGCTCTGGGCATCTGTGTGCTCTGGCTCCTGACTTGCAGTAACCCGGACCCTTTGCTGTTGCCTTTCCAGTCCCCAGCGAGCCTGGCCGCTTGGCTTTCAACGTTGTGTCTTCCACCGTGACACAGCTGAGCTGGGCTGAGCCTGCAGAAACCAATGGGGAGATCACGGCTTACGAAGTCAGTTACGGACTCGTTAACGAGGACAACAGTAAGAGCTCATTTTCTGACCAGGGCAGTTGTGCCAGCTCAGCCAGGCTGAGGGGCTGGTGTATACTTTCCTCAGGCTGGGCTGGTCCCAACCACCAGCAGAACCAGAACAGCTCCAAGCACATTTCTTGTGAAAACTGGGATCTGGAGTGGTCACTTCTTGATGGAAGGAGTATAGAACTCACCACCCAGGATTTAATCCTGCAAAGCCCAGAGTGTTGTCTGTTCCCATTCACTTCCATAGTGTTTTGTGTTGGTTTTCATCTTAAGAACTTAGTTCATAAGTCCAGACCTAAGGCTAGGGTGTCAGGAAGATGCTATTTGGTGACACACCAGCAACGGGAGACCCCTACTGTAGGTTGACTTCAGCGTTCAGTTTGGGAATTTCCCCAAGACAATGTCATGCCTGTCGTGAGCAGCCCAAATAGCTTCTGTGCCTTGTCCCAGAGCCAGGCTCTGTCCTGACATCAAACCTCAGCGAGGCTGTTGGCCAAGGGTGGGGTCCTGTGGAGTCCTCTGTATCTTGTGACCTCACGGGTGGTGTGTGTACTCATATTTGTAGTGCCCATTGGCCCAATGAAGAAGGTGCTGGTTGGAGACCCAAAGAAGCGCATGGTGCTGATAGAAAACCTGCGGGAGTCCCAACCCTATCGCTACATGGTGAAGGCCAGAAATGGTGCTGGCTGGGGACCTGAGAGGGAAGCCACTATCAACCTCGCTACGCAGCCCAAGCGCCCTCTGTCCAGTGAGTTACTGCCCTGCCTGGATGGGGAGCAGGGGAGGCAGGGGCAGTGCTGGGGAGTGCTCCTCATCACCAAGCTGCTTCACTGCACCCTACCCACTCCACCACACCAGCCACCCTGAAGGCCAGCCTGAGTGTGGGAGTCCTGTATGGTTTTGAGCTGCTTGTCTAATGGCACCTCCCACCTCTCCTCCAGTCCCCATCATCCCTGACGTCCCCATCATTGACGCAGAGGGAGGTGAGGACTACGACAGCTACCTGATGTACAGCACAGATGTGCTTCGCTCTCCAACTGGCAGCAAGCGTCCCAGTGTCTCTGATGATTCAGGTATGTTACTCTGAGTTTTGCAAAGGTCATTTTTAACATTCATTTTCCTTAACAACAGCTTTCAGCAATGAGCTTCACTGCTCCTTTCCTCCTCATGGAGATGGGGAGTGCGAGTCACAGAGATGGTGGAGATCAGCCTTTCCAAGGCACAGTAGCTGCATCCATGGGAACACTTGACATAGGAACAGAGTGTAAATAAGACCAGTACCTCCTTGTCTTAGCCACAAGGCAAAGACAAATCTCACCATGGCGTGAGACAGGAGCTTTTCACAGCCCTCCCTGCTCATCTTCCCTTCCTGTTTCCATTTGGCTGGACCATGAGAGTTACTGTCAGCAAACAAGCATGGGCAAGGGACAGACCTCTTGAGTCCTTCGGATATTCAGGGTCTTGGCCAAGTCAACAGGAGGGAACTCACCAAGTGCTGGGGAGGCACTGGCTTCTCTTCCTCCATCACTTCGCTCTCTGAATGAGGCTGGCTCCCTTGCCTTGTACTGGGACAACAAGGGGAAGATGGGCCATAAGTGAAATTATGAGGCTTGTCAGTAGGATCTGGGGGGTGTCTCCAGGGCCTGGGATCCAGGAGCAATCCCCTGGTCCTTGCAGGGAGCAGAGGTAATGGGAACACAAGAGTTTGACCATCCTGTGTGCACATCAAGGAGTGAGGAAACCTCTCCTGAGCAGAGGACAAATTGTTGCAGTCTCTTCGTGACAGGGACAGGCCTGTGGTGGAACTTTGACTCTTGCCTTTTGTTGTGATGGACGCAGGGCTGGAAAATAGTCCTGGGGTTGAGGAATGTCATGTGCATGTCACATTCCCTCCATCTACCAGTCACACAATGGTTGCACCGCCTGAACTCATCAGCCAACACTTAGCGAGATGGGCTGTGAGCACGTGTTGTTCCCACTGGCGCCTGCCCCTTCCCCTCCCCAGCAAGCACCATGAAGGTGGTGGGTAGCCCACTCTGTCCCCTGCAGATCATGCCAACACCAGTGCTTGCATTGTCCCAAAAGGCTCCAAGTGGAAATATGTGCAGTTGCTGGGAGAAGACTTGGATCTTCGCCGCATCAGCTGGAGGCTCCCACCTGAAACCATTCCCCGCCTCTCTGGCAGCAGCCACCTCTCCTCGGACACCGAGGGTCTCCTCCGCGAGGAGGACAACGACGTGGCTACTGGCAGCCTGACGAGGAGTGGGACCCCCCAGCCCCAAGCAGGTGAAGAACAGCTTCATTACGGCACTGAGTGTCCTGTCTCGTCCTGCTCTGAATCGAGGGGCTGGCAGCGGGGGTCTGCCCCAGTACATATCCCCTTCTTCCCCTCATGTGCCCGTCCTCGTGTTGGTGTGATGCACTGTTCATGTGCTGTAGCCTGCTTCAAAACCTTGTCCGGGTGTGTCTGCTCACAAGAGTGTCAAGGTAACCCCCATCTCGGCATGGACTTGGGAGCCTGCTAGCAAGTTGCTTCTACAAAAGTCTGGACCTTCAAGGCAGGAGCAAACTCAGATGATACCTGCTAAGTGCCATCTCCAGAGGCAGCTCCTCACCTTAATTAAGTGTCCTGAGCTTCTGGGTAGATCTTCTGGACTGTTAAACAGAAATCGCACTCTCATGGATAGCTGACATCATCTGGCCTGCTGGGAAGGGATGGGGATTTGTCAAGGACCAGAACGATGGAGCTGAGTTTGCTTTTCAGATCCAGCTGAGAAGGGATCCAGAGTGAGATTTTGAGAAACTGCCTCCATAAAGGGCTGTTTTTCTTCCACCTTCTTTTCTAATCTGAAATTATAAACCTGCGCTTGCGTCAAAGGAGAGATGTAAGAGAACATGGCAAGAACCACAAGGCAGTGTCCCAGCGAGGCCGAGGTCTGGAGTTACCTTGGGCACCATGGGTGTCTCTGGTGCTGGGTGTAGAGTAAAGTCTCCGTTTACCTGTTTGTTTCCCTGTCACTATGTTGGGTGGTTGTGACTTGTTCTAGATGTAGTGCTCCAGAATGACCTTCCAGAGTAGCTGAAGCTGGGATGCAGCCAAGGCAGGGCACACCATGATGCCTCCTGCTTCGTCCCCATGGAAACTGGAGCAGCAGCCCTGTCCACAGCCACATTCCTCACAGTGTGCCCTCTTTTACAGAACACTTGCTGAATGGCCGGGTAGACTTCTCCTTCCCTGGCAGTGGCAGTGGCACACTGACAAGGACAACAAACACCAGCTACCACCAGCTGAGCTCACACATGCAGCAGGAGCACAGGGTGATGGGGAACTCCTCGCTGACAAGAGACTACTCCATGATGCTGATGGGGCATGGTGAGTACTGTGGTGATGGGACCTGTCCTTCCCTTCTGCTCCTATGACTGTCTTCAGACCCATGCCCTGCAAGTTCTGTTGGGGTGAGGACTGTGTTCACAGCTAAGGAGGCCTATGAACCAGACATCTGTCAGTTGTGTCCCCACCACTGATGTGTAAGTGCTTTGCTAAGGCCACCCTGCTCCCAGAGCAGTTTGGAAAGGGTTCCCATCCCTCATGTCTAGAGTGCTTAGGAAAGGGAGCTACGTCCTTATTGTCACACTGCGAAGCACTCCAGGAAGAGCACGTGTCTCTTCTTGCTCTATCTAGCAGCATCGTTCCCTCCAGCTCCACGTGTGTACATCAGCTGGTGCTGACTGAAGGTTGCTAAAAGACTCTCCAAATCTGAGCCTTAAAAAGTCATCTCTGCAGGAGCTGACACCTGGGCTGAACCTGTTCTGAAGGCTCCAATGGTGTTTTTCTCTCTCTCTTGCACCACTTCTGTAGATTGCCTAGGGAGACCCCTCCCTCCCATCCATGAAGATGCTGGGAGGACAAACCCACGGCCCCGGGATGTGGGTTTCAGGAGCAGGGCAAAGGTGAAGGGTTACTACCCCAGCACTGGCTTTCGGGACTCTATAATCATGACTGATGGGTCCGCGGGGATTTGCAAGTACATAGGTACAGCTTTGTCCAGTATCTCCTCCCAGCCATGCATCCTATAACAGCCAAGCCACCGGCCGTCCATGAGCTGTTGCCATCCACCGCTTGCCACAAACCCTCTCTCCATGGCTTGCTGTGTGCCGTACTGATTTTTCTCCTGACCTGGCCTGTGCCTCCATCACACCACCTTTCCATTTGCAGGTGCCTTCAGCTATGTTTCAACCCACATGGGCTGATTAACACTCACCACCACAGTCACCATGCTCTAACGAGCTGATCAGCTCATTGTCCCCATCTTCTTCATTCCTAACAAGCTTGATGTTCTCAGTCTTACCCCACAGGCCTTTGGAGAACTCCTGGGGAGAACGTGTGCTCTATATGAGATGTCCCTCTGCAAGCTCCTTGGCCAAAGCCTATGTCAGTGAGGGGCTTCACACCCTGAGTGTCACCTGCCTGGGAGGCTGCTGCACTTGCCATGTGTCTTGTGCCCCAGTGGGCTGAGCTGGGGGGTAGCCAGGAGCAGCCAGTCCTGGTCTCATCTGTCCCCATCCAGTTGAACAGTTCCTGGAGGTGCTGGGCTGCTTTGGCTCTAGACTAGGGTTAGTCTTAATAGAGCCTCATCTGAAGATGTCCATGAAGCATTTGGCAGACTGGACAGGGTGCTTTGGGGTGAGAGATGGGCCACACACAGCACCCAGCCCCCTGCTCTGGTCTCTGTAACAGGGGCCTGAAGCTTACCTTGCCTTGTCCCACCCAAGGTTGGCACTCCAAGGACATGGGATGTCACTGTAGGTGTGCAGAGCCAGCCAGTCCCCCCTCATGACAGGCCAGCTTGCAGAGATGACATCTTGCCACGTTCTCCTTGGACCATCAGGACTATCCCACAATTGTGCATGCCATTTCATCCTCTCCCCCAGCCCCAAAACCTCCACCCTGATGTTCCCTTTTTGCCTCAGACTCCAGGCCGCCACTGGGCATCCCTGACACCCCTACACGCCTGGTGTTCTCTGCCCTGGGACCCACCTCCCTGAAGGTGAGCTGGCAGGAGCCACGCTGCGAGAAGGAGGTGCAGGGCTACAGCGTGCAGTACCAGCTCCTTAACGGAGGTCAGTGAACACTAGGCAGTTCATGGTGGGAGTTTCTGGTGGTGGAGAGTCGGTCTGGGTCTTCTCCTGGGGAATCTGGTTCTAGATGACCCTGCTTGAGCAGGTGGGGGTTGGACCAGGTGACCTCCACAGACAGATAGCTCTGGTTTTGTGCCTGCAACGTGGTGCTGATGTCTCCCTTTCCTGTGCATCCCAGGAGAGGTGCACCGACTCACCATCCCCAACCCCAGCCAGAACTCGGTGGTGGTAGAGGACCTGCTGCCCAACCACTCCTACATCTTCAAGGTGAAGGCACAGAGTGAGGAAGGCTGGGGCCCCGAGAGGGAAGGAGTCATCACCATAGAGTCCCAGGTGGACCCACAGAGCCCGCTCAGCCCTGTACCAGGTGAGGTGGATGGGGGACAGGAGAAGGGTGGCATTGATGTGTCTGTTGCTGTCTACAGTGCTGGCCTTGCTGTTTTCTCTCCCCTTACCACATTCTGAGCTCTCCTTTCCTTCCTTTCATTTAGGAATAGAGCCTTCTTCCCCATGCGCTCACTTTCCATGAGCTGTCTAGATCACTGAGACCTTCCAACTCGTTTCATAAATGCTGTGTGCAGACTCCTCCCAGGCTCCTCCTCACTGCCTTTTGTGAATCTGACCTCTTGCTTGTGCCCATGCAGGTTCACCCTTCACGCTGAGCACACCCAGTGCTCCTGGCCCACTGGTTTTCACTGCCTTCAGCCCTGACTCCCTGCAGCTCAGCTGGGAGAGACCACGCAAGCCCAATGGGTCCATCCTGGGCTACATGGTCACCTGTGAGATGTTGCATGGAGGAGGTACAGTATCAGGCTGTGGAAGCCCAGTTCATAGAATCATAGAATTGTTTAGGTTGGAAAAGACCTTTAAGATCATCAAGTCCAACCATTTCCTGTGCAGAGCACAAGATACCTCCAGCAAGGCAGCAACTCGCTGCATTTTGGCTGGGACCAGCAACAACGTTGTCTGCTTACATCATGTGGACAAGGTGGGGAGATGAGGTTGATTCCAGGCCTGGGAGCTGCTGGACCCTGATGCTTTGTGTCATTGCATGGTCTGGTGTAACAAATGTTGTGGGAAGACAAAGGACCTGCAGCTTATTACAGCCCAAACCCAGTGGAGGTTGGTTGTTGAGAATCACCACTGTACTAAAATAGGGTTCTCTTAACCCTTAGTAGAACTGAGTGTGATCATGCAGTCTGTGGGTGGTATAAAGCTTAGGGAAAGCCAAGACAGCAGCCAGAGTTGGGGGGAGTGTGTTTGGAGGGAACGCCATTCCTGTCTGTCTTCACCGCTGGTATGTCTGTGTGGGTTAGGAGAGCCCAGGAATATCTATGTCGAAGGAGACAATCCAGAAACTACCCTGACTGTACCCCACATGAGTGAGAAAGTCCCATACAAGTTCAAGGTGCAAGCCAAGACCACCCAAGGCTTTGGGCCAGAGAGAGAAGGCATCATCATCATCGAATCTCAGGATGGAGGTACAGTACCATGTCTTTGTGGAGGCGCAAAGATAAGAAACATCTCAGAGCACGGAACACAACTCCTGGAGTACCTTTCCAGCTCTGGTGGTGACTCCATTGTCCATGAAGGACATGGAGATGTTGTCTTCCATGAAGACAATGCTATGTCTTGTGAGCACTGTCCCAGTCCCAATGCACTGAATGAGGGAGGCTCACGAGAACCTGCCAGCGTTTAATTTATTATGAAACTTCTCTCTTGTACGCATACATGGAGGCAGCTTCTTACACTGTGTAAGAAGGTGTAAGACCTTCCCAGTCCTCTCAGTTCCTCCTAAACCTGGCTCTGATGTCAGCAAGAGAAAGCTCCAAGCTGGTTGTTGGTGCTCACTGTGCAGGGTTGAGGGATTGGAAGCTCCTTGTCATTTCCTGGCTGACTTGTCCCTTTTCCTCCTCCCCAGGCACTTTCTCCCAGTTTGGAGGACAGCAGTACACAAGGGAGGAAGTGTACAACTTCCCCACTGAATACACCACCAAAACCAGCATCAGCCATTCCTCTGCAGATCCCAACTTCACAGGTAGGGGCTCGCCGACTGCTTTGAAACCCTTGGAAAGCAAAGGATGACTTTGCTTGTCCAAAAGTCTGAAGGTGCTTTTATCTCAAGTGTCAAAGGCAGGGTCCATAAGGCAGGATTGATGAAGAGGTCCAGACCCTTTCCTACATGTGTCTGTGCTCTGCCCCAGAGGTAGTTGCAGTGATTTCCCCATGTGCTGCCCAGTCACGGAGGGAACGACGGTTTTCCAAGTCTCCCAGGACTATCACTAGAGACGAAATCATACCTCTTCCTGCAAGATTAGACTTCTTCAGAACAGGAAAAAACAAGGAAGTGTGATGACCACCTTTAATTACATCAGTGTAGTTGTCCCCTGTTGTCCCACTTGAGTTCATGGACTCATGGGTTCACACTGCAACATGGAGAGTTTGGGAGCTGTTAGGAGATCCATCTTATTGACTTGACAGAAAAGTACCAAATCACTTGATCTGGAGAGATTTTCCATCAGTGAAAGTGGCATTTAAGGAGAAACCTCTACCAGGAATCATCAGGTAGAGCAGATCCTAGTCCCTCTGACCCCATACTTTAGTCCTGACCACTGAGCTTCTCGTTGCAGATGGCATGCTCGTGACGGCCCAGCGAGTGGAGAGCGCCAGCAGCATCCTCACCAAACAGGTCACCAAAGAGTTTGTGAGCCGGACCATGATGTCCAGTGGGACCCTCACCAAACAGATGGAGAGGCAGTTCTACGAGGCCTGAGCCACGGCAGGCTGCCCACCAGCAGGACATTTGTGTTCAGATGGCAGGACTTTGTGGAATGATCCAAGAGTGCTTTATTCAGACACTGCCATGGTGCCTCCTATGGGCACAGACCCTCCATGGCACCGCAAGCTCTGAACCTCTTCTTTGGAGCCCAGCGCACTCAAAGCTCTGGCACGGTTGGGTCATCAGGTGTGTACTCATCCTTCAGGGTTTGTTCGCCCTGTCCCCAGTCCACAGGGATGTCTTCCACAAACAATCACCACTCGATCCAATACCACTCTTCAATGCTCATCCATCCAAATACGCCTGCCGAAATTTGGGTGTCTCGATGGCTCTAGTCTCCCCAGATAAATGGAACGGATCCTCAGTTCTGAGAGGATCCCAGCTGGCAACATCCTGATCTACAGAGAGTCACCATTTCCATCGTTGCCCCAGGCTCTCTGGCAACTTGCCGGTCCAGTGGAGGTGGTTATTTTGTTCTGTTTGGGTTTTTTTATGAGAGCTGCAAGGTAGGGGCTTGGGGTAACCTATGCTTTCTTACTGCACCTATTTGTGTCTGTCCTTCGCTGCTAACATTTGGTACCACGATAGCAAAGTATAGCCTTTCATTTGTATAGCTTTACTCATGATGGCATGCTTTTTTTTTTGCATAGTCTTGTACAGTTTTCATAGTATATATATAAATATATAAAAATGTATTTTATTATTTTATAAAAAAAATGGAGGTGGATGAGATCTATGCTGAATGTGGAGGCTATGCTTGGACTGTGGCTGCTGAGAAACGTGAATAAGTGGAAGAAATTAGTTAAGGGCTTGATCCAAAGGCCACTAGACCCTATGGAAAGCCTGTTGATGAGCTGGTGAACTCTGCATTGGGCCTTATATTGTCCAGCACTGGAGACTCCAGCAGAAGGCTGCAAGCAGCCAGACCCGCTTGCTGCACAGCATCCACCAGCCGCAGCACACGTGCACCAAAGGGCTGGGAGCCACTGGAGGTGAGGGATGGGGATGGCCCGGGCAGTCGTGCCTGGAGATGGGAATACTGCCTGGGTTTTCTTACATGGCTATTGTGGAGAACATGAGATTTTGGGGCAGAAGATGTTGGGTATCTTTTAAAAGCCCTTTTGCCCAACAGCGATGTCCACAAAGGGACCTGTGGTCCCTCAGTAATCACAAGGAAAGAGCAAGCCTGGGAGCAGCAGGCTCTCTCACCATCCTGAGCAAGGCTCTGTGCCTCCTTCAGCCCTTGGCTGTAGCCATCCTTGCATGTGCTGGGTGCAGGGCTGAGCTGAGACCCTGCTGGGCCTCGTTCCCTGGCTCTGGGCATGATGCCTGGCAGCTCACAGCCCTCTGCCAACGAGAACAATTGGGCTCCGTGTCTTGCTGAAGAACATGTTGCCCTGGTGTGCTTCAGCTGCATGGGAGCAGGTGAGGAGCCGGCCAAAAGCAAGGATCCTGCCCAAAGCAGCAGCTGCCACCATTCTGGATTACAGCTTCTGACCAAAACAGCAGCTGCCTGGTCTCCCTGGGAGCATCGCCTGCCTGATTTCATCTGACGCTGGACCTTGGCTTTTTTGTTTTGGGGTTTTTTTCTGCTTTTTTTTTATGGACTCAGAAGGACACTTTGCAGCACTGACACCACCGAGAGCTCCTTCTCTCCAGGCTGTTCGTTTGAGCAGGATGGTTTGTACGTGTTTGAGCCAAAGATGCACATGGGTGAGTAAAGTCCACAGGAGTCTCCAGGACTGCAGCTGGAGCTAAGTCTGTTTTGAGCTTGGGTCAAAGGATACTTCACCAGCTCTGTGGTTTTATTATGCCTTCAAGAAACACTTATTTTTCCTGAGCAAGTACCAGTGGCATTAGCCTGCCCACCTCCCCGTTCCCGTCTCACCTTTGCGGTCGGGGTTTCCTCCTGCACAAGGACTCTGTGACCCTTTCCCTGTGCTTTGTGGCCCAGGGTAAAAAGCTGAAAAACTGCCTAAAATGGGAGCTCCGCTTCCAAGCATCTTAACCAAAGACTATCCTGTTAGCCAAGAGACGAGCACAGCCCGTCAGCTGCTGCTCTCCAAGGCATCACGCCATCCTCACGCGCCAGGCGGCTGCGTACCTAACCACCGCCTCGCACTACAACAGCGTCACTTCTCATCCGGCCGTTAGGGCTGGTGGTGTTTCAGCCTTGCCAAGGTGGGTCCAGCAGCCTGCTCTGACAGTGGCTCTTTGATCAGATTGCTTCCTATTGCACTCAATAAATGTTTTCTCTACAGTCTGACTCTTCCCTTTTCTTAAAAAAAAAAAAAAAAAAAAAAAAACCACCCCCCCCTCCCACTCTTCTCCTCCTGCAGCAGAAGATGAAGGACACATGCCAGCAGCGGATACCCAAACTGGGGCTTCTGCAGCTGCAGCTCCAGAGGCACTACTGCATCCCTGGTAATGGCTCATTACACCAGTGCAAACTGGAGTTAAACCAGTCTCCTCTGAGGAAAGGTCCTCAATGACTTTGGCATCAGAGTTTGGCTCAGGTGGGTGCAGAACCAACCGTGAAAATGTTTTGCGTTTATTAGGCAAATGCTGCAGACAGATTGAATCCTTTGCGAAGGGAGGAAAGCAGGTGCCTCTCTCAGGGAGGCGATCCCAGCCCAGGCGAGGTGGTCGCTCCTCTACAGGGGCAGCGCCTTTGCCCCTCCAGAGGGTTTGGTGAGGTAGAAGGTGGCTGTGCCGCTGTATTTCTCCTAGGAGACAAGAGGAGCAGTAAGTGCCGGTGCTCTGGGGCTGTACCATGCCACAGCAAGAGGCCTGGCTGGGGGATGCTCTGACAGCGGCCAAGTAAGATGCTTTTGGGGGACAGCATGCTGTCCTGGCCCCCGCCTGGGGTCCCTTGGTCCATCCACGGCACAGGGTAGGGAGGCTATCAACACATTCCCCCAGCTGACCCTTCAGCAGCCCCCTATGGACTGTGCTCCATGACTTCTTCCAACCCCTTTTTGACCCTGCTGATGCTGCCGACCTCCATGGCCTCTGGCAACAGCAGAAAATGCATAGCCAGCTCTGTGCAGTGCTTCCTCAGTTCTGTCTTTCTCCCAACTCATCCAGTGGTCACTGGTTCTTATTTTGGAGGATTTGAGGGTCAGTTCCACACTCACCCTCTCTACCCTCTTTGCTGTTTTGTAACTTCTGGTCACCTTTCCTCTCTTCCAGCTCCTCATCAGATGGCAGAGGCACAGACTTTTTGGTCTCTCCTTGTTTCAGACACCTTCCTCTGCACCTTCCCTACCCACCCCCATTTACAGGGTGCACCATGATGTCATATGGCAGCACCATGAGGCTCTGCCTCATTCACAACCCTGCTTCCTGACACCCCCATTTTGCTGGCGTTTTCAGCTACCAGTGCACGCTGAGCTGATTTGAGAGAGAGAATGTTGATAATGGCACTGAGATCTTTCCTGGGCTGTAAGCACCAGTGTTAAGCTCAGCATTGCCTGAGCTTGGCTTAGATTACTTTTCCCTAGATAGGTTTAGCCTCCCTGAAGCTCACCTGGCACCTTTTTGCTCACTTTCTCAATGCAGTAAGGTCCTTGGGCAGCGCCCGGTAGCCAGCACAGTGCTGAACAGCCTGCAAGAGCTTAGCAGCATCAACAGATTTGGGGCTGCATGGCACTGGATGGGCTACACCAACCTCAAGTGCCTCAGGAGCACAGCTTCAACAGCATCCCCAGGATTCCTTGGGATCTTTAAGTAAATCTCCCAGCACTTTTCTGCCACGTACCTGGATGTGGTGCTGGGCTCTCTCTGCAGCCCCAGCCTCCAGCAGCGTCACCGTGCAGCCTCCAAAGCCTCCCCCGGTCATCCTGCTGCCATAAACCCCATCGACCTCCAGGGCTGCTGCTACCAGCTCATCCAGCTCTGGGCAGCTCACTTCGTAGTCATCCCTGGAAAGAGGAGACCCATGGTCAACCCCATCCTGCATCCCAGCCATAGCCCCGACACCACGAACAGCTGAAACATGTGCCTTGGTGCATCCATTGCCAATAGCAAACCACAGCAATGCAGGATGCCGCAGATCCCGGTCCAGCACTCTGCCTGTCATGGTTCAATCCCAGCTGGCAACTAAGCACCACACAGCCACTTGGTCGCCCTCTGCCCATAGTGGGATGGGGGAGAGAGTTGGAAGGATAAAAGTGAGAAAACTGGTGAGTTGGGATACAGCTTAATAGTAAAGCAAAAGCTGCATGTGCAAGCAAAGCAAAATAAGGAATTCATCGGCAACTGTTGTTCTTCGACCCTTGCAACCCCACGACAGAAGAGTCCTTCGAGAGACCAGGCAAGGTAAAGAGCTGTTTAATTTCCTCCATCTCCAGGGCAGCTACACCAAAAGCCCACCAGCACCCCTTCGGGTCCTTGAAATACCCTCTCCTGAGATAGCCTATGCCAAGGATACACAGAGCCTCGGGGCCAGTCACAGAGGGGGCTTTTGCCGCTCATTCCCACTTAGGCTCACTTCCGCCTCCAGTACAGTCGGCTGTTGGGATCCCCCTGTCACTCCAGAAATCCACATGGGTTCTGCCCCTGTAGAGCTTGATGGCATTAGGGGGACACTGCACACCAGTGTCCACTAGAGCTTGATACTTCCATGGGGCTGATGTGCCAGGCCATCAAATCCAGACAGACCAGTAAACCCGGTTGTCCCTTTCCTTCACCTGGCTGGAGGCAGGGCCCCTCTAGTCCTGGTCATAGTATTTGTCACTCACTTCTTGTACATGCGAGTCAAAACTCCCTTTATTAAGATCAGAAGTAAAATCAGCCCTTCCACTCTGTCTGGGGAACTGCTCACTGGAAATTGGAGCAGCAATTTTCCTGGAAGAACTCCCTTTCATGATTGGTTTTCTTTGTAACTCACGTACCTGTGCCACGAGGGTTGAGGTAGATTTTTCCACCCCGTTTCCTCATATCCTCTCCGTGGCCTTGCTCCTTACAGCTGAGATACTGGTCCATAGAGGTAGGACCTATCCTCTTTGAGTTGCTGGAACTCCCAGGACAGTTTTCCAGACAGTTTTTCCACAGCAGAGATGCAAGCCCACAGAGGAGAAGACAGACTTTCTTTGGCCAGCCAATTCATCCACCATTTCTTCCTCTCCATCTTTCCAGGTCATTACTGCCAGTGAGTTTGCATGCAATGCTGGTGTGCTTCGTATGAACTTCCACCACGTGGGTCATGTGCACATGACTTCATCTGGATCTTTGGACAACTGCTCGCTGTTCAGGTCATCATAAATCATCTCCAGCATGGCCAATTCCCTCAGGTACTGGATACTCCATGGTGGTCCACTTCCCTGGGTGACACATAACATCCTCCTTGAAGAGATACCTTCCCTTCACACCTGATGGGAGTCGCCTCTGGAGGCTGGGGGCTTGTGCCCTTTTTCCAATTGCTTTGTCAAAGCTCCCTTCCCTAGAAAGGGATCCCAGCTGCTTGGCTTCCCTACCCTCTAACTCCAGGCCCTGTTATCCCAGCATTGGAGCAGCCAGGTGACAACGTGCTTGCCCAGACAACGACTGAAATCCTTTCGCGTATCTCACAGGTCACTCGGGGGTAGGGATCGGGTGGTTATCATCTCATTATGAGTTCTGCCTCTTCCTCCTCCTGTTCGCATGGTGGCCATGGTTCATCTTCATCCCTTACTAAACAAGCTGATTTTTTTCTTGTGTATTTCTTCTCGTGTATAGGGGAGACTGATACCAGCATGGGTTGGTTCTCTGGTTCAGCTGCAGTGCCTGTGGCCAGGGTTGGACTAACTGCCCCTCTCCTGAGATAGCCTATGCCAAGGATACACAGAGCCTCGGGGCCAGTCACAGAGGGGGCTTTTGCCGCTCATTCCCACTTAGGCTCACTTCCGCCTCCAGTACAGTCGGCTGTTGGGATCCCCCTGTCACTCCAGAAATCCACATGGGTTCTGCCCCTGTAGAGCTTGATGGCATTAGGGGGACACTGCACACCAGTGTCCACTAGAGCTTGATACTTCCATGGGGCTGATGTGCCAGGCCATCAAATCCAGACAGACCAGTAAACCCGGTTGTCCCTTTCCTTCACCTGGCTGGAGGCAGGGCCCCTCTAGTCCTGGTCATAGTATTTGTCACTCACTTCTTGTACATGCGAGTCAAAACTCCCTTTATTAAGATCAGAAGTAAAATCAGCCCTTCCACTCTGTCTGGGGAACTGCTCACTGGAAATTGGAGCAGCAATTTTCCTGGAAGAACTCCCTTTCATGATTGGTTTTCTTTGTAACTCACGTACCTGTGCCACGAGGGTTGAGGTAGATTTTTCCACCCCGTTTCCTCATATCCTCTCCGTGGCCTTGCTCCTTACAGCTGAGATACTGGTCCATAGAGGTAGGACCTATCCTCTTTGAGTTGCTGGAACTCCCAGGACAGTTTTCCAGACAGTTTTTCCACAGCAGAGATGCAAGCCCACAGAGGAGAAGACAGACTTTCTTTGGCCAGCCAATTCATCCACCATTTCTTCCTCTCCATCTTTCCAGGTCATTACTGCCAGTGAGTTTGCATGCAATGCTGGTGTGCTCCGTATGAACTTCCACCACGTGGGTCATGTGCACATGACTTCATCTGGATCTTTGGACAACTGCTCGCTGTTCAGGTCATCATAAATCATCTCCAGCATGGCCAATTCCCTCAGGTACTGGATACTCCATGGTGGTCCACTTCCCTGGGTGACACATAACATCCTCCTTGAAGAGATACCTTTCCTTCACACCTGATGGGAGTCGCCTCTGGAGGCTGGGGGCTTGTGCCCTTTTTCCAATTGCTTTGTCAAAGCTCCCTTCCCTAGAAAGGGATCCCAGCTGCTTGGCTTCCCTACCCTCTAACTCCAGGCCCTGTTATCCCAGCATTGGAGCAGCCAGGTGACAACGTGCTTGCCCAGACAACGACTGAAATCCTTTCGCGTATCTCACAGGTCACTCGGGGGTAGGGATCAGGTGGTTATCATCTCATTATGAGTTCTGCCTCTTCCTCCTCCTGTTCGCATGGTGGCCATGGTTCATCTTCATCCCTTACTAAACAAGCTGATTTTTTTCTTGTGTATTTCTTCTCGTGTATAGGGGAGACTGATACCAGCATGGGTTGGTTCTCTGGTTCAGCTGCAGTGCCTGTGGCCAGGGTTGGACTAACTGCAGTGCCTATCGTGGGGGTAGATCTCTGCATGGTATTCTTAAATAGTTGTTTAACCCTAAAAAAGACCTGAACTACATTCAGGAGACAGCAATAGGAACGTGCTGGTTTGAACTTCCCAAGGATATACAAAATTCTCAAGAGCTGTTGTAAAAAACCTGAAGGAGAAGGGGAAGATGGAGGAAGGCATCTTCCCCCGTAGGTTGGCTCTCCGAGGAGAAAAAGTAAAAAGTGTAATTATTAATAGGTTCCGATAGATGGCTCCCGAAGTACAGGGGTTACGGCAATGCTGAGTACAAATACCAGACTGGTGTCATGACCAATAATTGTATCATACCATAAGCCAGTGTATAGAACAGCAAAATGATAACCTCAATCCCAGCTCCCAGAGCTGATAAACAGTATATATGGCAAGTAAGGTATTACACGGCTGATAACAAATACAACAATTTTAAGATCAAATAAATCAACATTGTGACCAGTGACTACTAAACTAATATAGTGAGTGCTTATAGAAAATTTGTTCTAACACACTCTGGTCAGATCTGTCATTATCTCAACCCTTCGTGCCCCATGTTGGGTGCCAAAAAGACCTTTGTGGTTTAACCCAGCAGGCAGCAGAACACCATCCAGCCGCTTACTCATCCCCCCCTTCCTCCCCGTTGGGAAGGGGGAGAGAATCAGAAAGGTAAAAGTGAGAAAACTCATGAGTTGAGATAAAGGCAGTTTAACAGGGAAAGCAGAAGCCGTGCGCACAAGCAAAGCAAAGCAAGGAATGCATTCCCTCCTTCCCATGGGCAGGTGGGTGCTCAGCCATCCCCAGGACAGCAGGGCTCCATCACACATAACGGTGACTTGGGAAGACAAATACCATCACTCCCAACGTCCCCCCCTTCCCCCTTCCTCCTTCCTCCCCCAGCTTTATATGCTGAGCATGACATCATATGGTGTGGGATGCCCCTGGGGTCAGCTGGGGTCAGCTGTCCAGCCATGTCCCCTCCCAGCTCCTTGTGCGCCCCAGCCACTCGATGGTAATCAAAACCACTGCCCCATACCAGCTACTATGAAGAAAATTAACGCTATCCCAGCCTAAACCAGTACAATGCCTTAAGTGCACATACAGATGAGCGAGGCTGTGAGCACTGGGGATCCGCTGGGGGCTGCTGTAAGCAGCACGCATCTGTAACGTACGTGACCGCCTGCCTCATCCCTTTTCTTAAAACTCCACGGCAGGCTGAGCCATGAGGGACATGGCTCTGGCTGCCCCTGGTGCTGCACCCACGGGCAAGGGAACCCCATGAGAACCCGACGCAGGTTGGTACATCCTCACCTCAGGGAGTTGTGACTCTCCACCATCAGTCTCCCAAATGTCCTGTAGTCCCTGCCCTGCAGTGCTTGCGCTGCCTGGGCTGTCCGTGCTATCTCGCCGATGACGTGCCTGGCCCGCCGATACACCTCCTCGCTCAGCTGGCTCCTGGCCGCTGCGGAGACATGCATGCCCCTGCAGCAAAGCTGCTCAGGTTTGCGGGATGCTGCTGGGAGCAAGCATGGCTGCATCTTGCAACCATCCTGTGCCAGAGCTTCTCTACTTGCGGCACGCTCCTGTCCTGGTACATGCACCCACCCCCCTGTCCCAGGTGCTCAGCCCACGCCACGGGGCACCAAGCTCCTGCTGCCCTGAGGAGCAGCCAGAGCCAAGGGAGGGACCATCCCACCTTCCAGCTCAGCCATGGTGGCATCTCGCAGGCTGGCTTTGCCGAGAGCCGCTGCCGCCTCCTCACACTGCCGCCGGCGTGTGGGGTACTCGCTGCCTGTCAGTGTGTGCCGCACGTTGGAGTTGGTGATGAGGACAGCCAAGCTGGCATCGGTCAGTGGGACAAGGACAGTCTCCAGGGACCTGCAGCAAGAGCTTAGCACGAGCCATATACCCCGTCCCCCCTGCCCACTCTAGCCCTCAGCCATCTGGGTAAGACCACGTGGCAGGCAGCTCCTGTCTGCAGAGGCAAAGTCCGAGTGGTTTAGGATTTCACTGGAGCATTTCACTCCCTCCCAATTATTAGTCCCATAATAGACCCTAACGACTTTGCAGAAAGACAGCCCAGGCAAGTAGCAGAAAGGGTGCAGGAGGAGGAATCAAGACGCAGGAATTAAAATGCAGGGAGCCCCAGTCCTGTGATGAGATTTTCAGCTGGATTCAGGGGTTAAACCCTCCCTGCACTCCCAAATTTATTTCATGACCACAGGGCTAGCTCATCCCCACCTGCCTGAGGAGGTGGGCACAGCGCGGCGAGCTCGGTGCTCGGCCCTGACCTGCAGTCAATGAGCAGCGCGTGGCCTTCCTTGCCCATCACAGATATGAACTGGTCCATGATCCCACAGGGCATGCCGGCAAATGTGTGCTCTGCTTTCTGGCATGCCAGTGCCTTGGCTACCAAATCACCGTCATCTGTGCCAGAGCAGAGAGATGCAGGTTAGCAGCTCTGGGGCTTTGCCCCTTGCCCTGGAGCAGGGGCAGCAAACACAAAGGTAAAGGGTTGCTTTCCCATGGAATGGGGTTTTGCTAAAGCATCAGCTGCAGGCGCTTGCTCCTGCACCAGTGCACAGCATCTGTGCCAGCATGGGTCCCCGGATCAAGCTGGATGTGACAATTTGACACCGGTGTCTCAGACCTCTCCATTTTTGGGGACATGAGGGTGGGGAGAAGATGCTCCAAAGGGAACATCCTCTCATCCCCCCAGCCAGCCCCAGGGGCGGTCCATGGGCTTTAGAGGCATGGGCATGTCAGGCTGGGTTAGCCGGAGGAGCCCTGCAGCCACAGGGGCGCCAGCTCTGGCTATGGCAGGGGGCTGTGACCCACACCACAGCAGCATTTGCCCGAGGGTTGTGTGATCTTGCTAAGGGCAACCCCTCATCCCAGCTCCCCCCCAGGAATGAAGGCGGCAGGGGCCAGTACCAGCTGCTGCCTTACCAGGGCAGAGCTGCTGGAGGAAGGTGTAAGTAGCCACCTCCAGAGCGGCCGAGCTGGAGAGGCCCCCACCCAGGGGGATGTCACTGGCTATCACGGCGCTGAAGCCTGGCACAGGACCACCTGCAGGAATAGAAGGAAGAAGGGAGCCGTGAAGCCTGCAGGGCTGGGGGCTGCCCTGCCCCACAGCTCACAGGGAACTGTGGGGGGGAAGCCCCTGTCCAACGCCCCATTTTAAAACACAGGGTGACCTACAGCAGAGTGTGACCTAGGCATCCCCCCGCCCCAAACACAGGGGTCTTCGGAGCTGAAAGCATCTCTGCTGGAGCCTGGCCCCAGCAGCAGGTGCAGGATGGCACCAGCACTGGAGGAGCCCCTGGCATACACCAAAAGCCAGGTGCCGAGCACCCGCCCCACACGAGGGGGCCTCCAACCCACCCGGCAGCCTGGGCCTTACCCCTGTAGTGCTGGATGACGCCCTTGACGTAGTTGGCCCAGCGAGGCTGCCCCGGGCTCAGAGGGCTGCCTTGGCGGGGAGCTGGGAACTGCACCCTGTGGGGTTCATCCGCCTCCGCCGTGGTGGTGAGGATGGAGATGGTCCCGTCCTGCGTGGGGGATCCCACCAGCACCGTCCCCAGCTGCAGGGCCTGGGGCAGGGGGGAAGGTGGGCTCAGACCCCGTGGCATCCCTTGGAGCATCCCCACTGGTGGCGTGGGGCAGCTGTGGCTGCTTCAACCCACAGCTGGCAGCACCCAGCACGTGTTACCCTTAGCTCTGTCCATGCGGAGCCACCGGCCCCCACCACACACTCCCGCTTGTCACAGAATTAAACATTCTGGCTCTTGAACCCCACACAGGGTCAGTCTGAGCACTGAAATGTTGTGACCAACCACCCCAGCTCGGTGCTGGGGTGCTGGCTGCTGGGCTCCGGGGGAGCGGAAACCCATGACGAGGCTGTGAGAGGCTTCGGGAAGTTTTCTTGCTTGCAGGGGAATTCAGCTGACCTGCTCCCACGCTCCTCAGCCTCAGAATAATTAGCTGTAGGTTTGATTTAAGACTGAGCAGGGGCTTCCCCACCGAGCCGGAGGAGGGCAGGAAGCCCCAGCTGCTTCGAACCACCTCTGCTACTGAAACGCCACTCTCCAGGAACGGAAAATTGTTTGATGGGGTTGCAGAAAAGAGGCTTCAGCCCCTCGAAGCGGCGGCTGGGGAGGGGGAAGCACAGCCCCGCTGCAGTGAGTTAGCAGCCGGCCTGCGGGGCTGCCCCCAACGCTCCGGGTCCTGCTCCGAGCTCCGGCGGGCCCGGGGGCGGTGGGAGAATCCCGGGGGATCCCGCAGGGTCCTGAGCGGGGGATCCCGGAGCGGGGGGGGGACATCCTGGGGCGGGGAAGACGG